GAGAAAGCCTAAGCAAGTAATAAAGGTCTGTATAGGTTTGTTATGATTTTTCAATGATAGAACAGACAATCTTGAGGGCATAACTCAGTCAATTAGTTTAAGGATGTCTAGTAAAGGTTTATTTAAGAATATTGCCCAAGCTTTATCTGCATAACAATGACTACTGAAAGATGTCTTTTATGTTTCTCTGTATTATGCAAATGTTACTTTTGGCACTTTCTTTTACCCATAACAAGAATGATTTGACTCAAGAAAGCCTAGGTCTACCTCCTTGAACCAGATGTATGCAATCTAGAAGAAAACAGTTTCTGTGAAGCTTGGTCTGAATTCTGATGTTTATTTCCTGTCGATAGCCACTCCATCAGCTATCAAAGTATCTGAAAACAAATCCTAAGTTCATCATTCTCAAGTCCAGTCTTGGCAGCTCAAAAAAAAAAAAAAGCCTTACTCTCCTAAAAGCTACTAAATGAGATTGTACCTTGATTTGGCACCCCTATTGGTCTGGGGTCTGACAGTGGCCCAGCTTTCATAGATGTATTTCTGCTCTGGAAACTGTTATTGAGTATGTTAAAGCTATAATGAAATGCTTTAAAAAAATAGGAATCTTAATTCTTACGTTCTCCTTCTGAATAATGAAAACTGTAACTGTATCCTGGAAAGGACCCAGCATTCTAATAACCTCGGGAAGAGGATATGCATTTGTGTTTCCACAGGACACTGAAGCTCCCATCTGGATTCCTGACAGGCTCGTCAAGCCCTACAATCAAGCCCAGGGCAAGGAGGAATTGAGGAAGACTGAAGTCTGTGATGCACAAACTACAGAAGCTGAGAGTGTCTCCTCCGCAGGCCCGATCAACACAGGAAGCCAGTCTGCCCACCTGGGGACAAGTGAAAAAATTGACTCGTGAAGCAGAAAATACTGTGGTTGCTGCAGGGCAACCTTTGACAAAAGAAAATATGTTTCTTGCCATCCTTGCTGTTCTGACCGCACAAGCCTCAGTTACTTCAGGGGAGATTTATTGGGCGTATGTACCTAACCCACCTCTTTTGCATCCTGTGGGATGGGGAGATGAATCACAAATTAAAATAATGACTAACTATAGCCAACTTTTAGGTGGGTCTGAAGATTTTAAAACTTTTCACACAACTTCTGAAATTGTTAATTATGAGGGAATGTCAGATACCACTCCCATTTGTGTAAGTTTAAAAGGGCAAGTGATGCCTGGATGCTTACCTATTAATTATAGAACCTTCTACACAGATGCTCCTGATTGCAGCTCTGATTCTGGTAAAAGATTAATGTGGGAATGGGTATGCTAACTTTGGGATATTATAACTATAATGAAACCTTTCTAGATCCTGATATTAACATGCCTTTAGAAAACTGTTTTCAAGAGTATCATGATAAAGATCAATTTTGGAATTCCTTTATCACTTATCCAAAATGGTTAAATTGTGGATTTCCTTCTAAAGTATCTAAACATCAGCCTCCAGGGTCTAAAGATTCTATTTATGATTTCTCTATTCCAAATCCTAATTATAATTATATTGAATATCTGTTAAATAACAAAAATAAATTTAATAATTTTAAGCTTCAGACTTATGGAGAACCAGTTAAAAGATGGTTTACTCCCAGATGGGTGGCTCCCAGATACGTGAGTCACTCTCCAGAGCATAATAATACAAATATTCATCCCAGTCTCTTCCGGCTTTTTGCAGCTGCAAACATGCTGCTGCTTAGGAAACCGAAAGAAAGCACACCTACTCCGGTGGGGGTAAGAGCTTGTATTAGTTGTCCTTTTGGATTTTTGGCAGGGAAGCCTAGTAATTTTAGTATCTCAAATTATGGGAAATCCTATCATGTAAAATGTTCAAATTGTGTGTTTACTAATTGTTTCACTTCTGCATTGGACAAAGATTATTCTGTAATAGTGTTATTAAAGCAACCTAGTTTTGTTATGCTTCCAGTAGATTTAGGATCAGATCCTTGGTATGATAATTCAGCTTTACAAACATTGAGGAATTTGAATAAGTTAATCAGGCCAAAAAGATTCATTACAATGCTGATATTGGACATAGGCGCATTGATTACCATCTTGACTTCGAATACTGTTTCCTCTATTGCTCTAGTGGAAGACGTCAAAATGGCACATTTTGTAAATAATCTTAACAAATATTTCATTGGCTTTAACAGATCAATATAGCATTAATCAAAAGCTAGACATGAAGATAAACGCTTTAAAAAAAGTGATTTTAGCTTTAGGACAGGAAGTGCAAAATTTAAAGGTACAGCTCTCTACTAAGTGTCATGCTAGTTTTAAATATGTTTGCATGACTCCTTTGAATTATAATACATCCTTGAATTAGAATGCTACTAAAACCCATTTTTTTACCCTCCCAGACTGATGAACCTAA